TATTATATCGTAAATGAGCTTTCGTAGAGGAAACGATTAATTAGAAAAATCCTCGAATGCAACAGAGGGTCCTTTAAAGAAAATTTTTCATTCCAAGTAAGTGAAAATCATAATTTTTTTGTTGTACCTTAATTAAGGAATTGCATGGAAAGGTTTTTATTGGTTTTTTTTAAACAGATCTCTATAGAATTTATTAATGACTTGTATAAAAGTAGATGCAATATTTTCAGTTGATGAATTGATTTTCACGTAACGTTATGTCTAGTGGAGCACTCGTTCTTATACATGCCCTGTATTTTCAAAACATCCTTGTCACTCAGCTTCTCACGTTGACCAATTTTCACGCCTTCCTCCTGTTAATTAATGAGTTTCAAAATTTTTCAATAGTGCAGTGATGAAACGAGATAAGATACCATTTAAATTCGTTCGTATACTTCGTTATAGATCAATTCTACATTATTCCGGAGCTATCGCAGTACTGACCTTGGGAATAATGGTCGGTTTTCCATTAGCAGAGAATACTTTACGACTATAATGCATGATGCTCTTGTAGTCGTAACCGACGCCGAAATCGGTGACAGTGTCTTCCTCATATTTTTTAAAATTCTTCTGCTTACCTGCAACAAACAAATTGATGCGGTATAATTTAATTCTCTTCTCATTTCGATGGAAATACCTGTCTTTATGTTCTCCCAAACAACTTCAATGTACTCGTCGCGATTGTAAGTACTGTGCTGGTGGTGGAAGCCAATGGCATGCATGATCTCGTGAATTATGGAACCATGCCTGATGCATTTGGGAAGCTGAAGGTTTATCGCTTGACCAGCCCCCTGTCTCCCAACTGACGACCAACATCCAGGCTTGCTTGATTGAAACGAAATGTAGTCCTTGTCAATGGACTTATCATACCAGCGAAATTGCAGACAAGTTCTCTGATGATATTCCTCCATCGCTTGGTATATCCTCGTTACATCCCTCTCACCTGAAATTTCAAATTGATAAAAGACTCGCCGCGGCTCCTTCACAATCCATTCATTCCCATTCTTCATTTATTTATTTACAAAGAAAATGTTGAATTGAGAAGAACCTGAACATCATTTCCCGACATCAAGAACCGATTACGTACTAAAGTGGCCATCCTTTATCACAAAAGGGACGACCCCATTTGGCCATCGTCTGGACATATCGAGAAGTCCTTTAACGTCTTCATGATCGTTCGGGCCCATCATGATATCACCCTCCATCAATCCACTCAACTCCCAAATATTTTCCTCATCCTCTTCCTCCCAGGCATTCACCCTGTCATCTGCAGATTAATCAATTGATCACTCGATAATTATCACTGTTGATTAACGATCTAGATTCAATCAAATTCTCACATATTTCCTCGTCGTTATCTTCCTGGTAACTCCTGATAGAACGAGAATGCGGTGATTTCAATGATTTCTTCTTCGATTCGTGACGCCTGCTGCCTGAAGAATTGAGATAATCGTTGGATTATCTCCGTGTGAATGGGAATACGAGTGAATAGAGAAGTGGTGAGTGCAATCGATAGTTTAAAGGAGAACTATCGATACAGTGAAGTGGCAAAGTGCAGCGATAAATTCGATTAATTGCTTCACGAGGAAACGGAAATAGATGACGAGATTGTGAAGATTTTTGTGTAAAACTCATTGCAAATGAGCAAACGAGTATGTCCAGTGAATCTGGTTGAATTCCTTTGTGTCAAATTTATTCAATTGTAATTATTTTGAGGTAATTTAATTTGCGAAATTAGATGTTTTAGTCATACGTTGCGGCTGTCAGTGCGAGAAGCGCCACTTCACCTAGAGTCAATGACTTCACTCAACTTCACGCTACGAGTGCAGTGTCTTTAGCGAATTGTGTCAGTGACAATACCGTGACGTGATGAATTTTACTAGTGAAATTGTGAAAAAAAGCGAAAGGTTATGAAAGTTTCTCCACCATTTGCCGGGATAATCATATACTCGTCTATCCGGATGTTGTCGTTATCAAGATCAAGAGTGTAATGAGTGCTTATGAAGGTTAGAGGTAAGAATGTGATGGTGAACACTGAAATCCGATGATAATGGCTGATGTTCGTGTTTCCTGCTGTGTGCTGAGATGATTATGCTTCAACTTTGGATTAATCGCAGAGATCGTCGTCCTCAAAGGTAAGAACTACTTCATGAAGATGTAGAGCATGAAATATTTTTTTTTTTGGCGTCATTTTTTCGCGCGTTCGCAGCCTTCCAGGCTTTTACCAGAAAAAAATTGTTTTGATACTTCGTTAGTGGATTAGGAGTTAATTTGGTATGGTGGATTGATAATCGGTTTAATTGCGGTATACTAAATTATATTTTTAGATAATTATTAGTGGGTGTAAATTAATTTTTAGAATACTATAATACAGGTGTTATCTGAATCAGTCAGTCTGTTACGATTAATATGTCAGAAGATTCATGGAAAGATCCAGGTGAGGGCATCTTCGACGAACTCACTGCTCTTTTCACTGTTGTCTCTTGATTTGCATTCGTCTTTGTACATCGCTTGTAATTTTGTAATGTCTTTTTTGCTGAACCCCTTGCGCTGTCCAATGGTCACTCCCTCTTTCTACGAAACAATAGCCAAGAGAAATTATCAATCAATTAAAAATACTCCAATCGTTATCTGCAGAAATAAAAACAATGGAGATAAACTCACGAGTGGAACAATCGTGGGATTTCCATTCGATGTGAATGCTTTCCCACTGTAATGCATTACACTTCCGTAATCGTAACCCACACCGAAATCAGTCACCAATTTGTTGTTGTATTTATCGAAGTTGTGCTCCTTTCCTAAAACATCATATATCTTCAACACCAGTTTATCGTTTTTATTTCGCAAATACGAGGGGTCAACAGTGTTTAATGAATGACTAATACGAACACAAACATAAATTCATCATATCAATTACTCCAACAAATGAACAATCATTTATTATTAATTTATTAGGGACTGAAATCCTTCGTTATCTTTTTACTGAGTTGGAAAATCTCTTCAATTTTTTTTCTCCTCATTTTCGAGAGCATTTGAAAGACTTTACCTTTGGAGATATTATCCCAGACGATTTGCACGTAGTCATCCCTGTCGAAGCTGCTCTGTTGATGATAGAACCCGAGGGCATGGAGAATTTCATGAATAATAGTTCCTCGTTTGAGGCACCCAGGATTCTGGAGGTTTATCAC